ATAGTTATTTTCTCAAATGTTCTCCAAACTCATCCGTCAGTTCCAAAGTCTCACAGTATAATATGATAATAGCTGCCGGGTACTAACTTCAAGCTATTTTCTGTGGGGGCAGTGTCTTTATGATTTACATGTGAATGCGCGATAGAGGGAAACAATGGAACTGGCCAGCCAGTGACCTGAATTTTCTTCAAGAAAGGGAGGTGATAAATACTTAGACCGTGTCTTTGTGTGGGTATATGTTAGAACGCTGTATAGAATTATTACAAAACTGCGTTGTACTGTTTTCTGTTCTATTTCCACGTTGGTTGTTGGTTAAAAGCAAATGTATTTACATATGTATAACATACATTTCTCACAGACTTGATTACGTGTGATAATTGCTTCATATAGTTAGTGTTATCTGGGACAAAATAAGTGAGTTACATGAATGCGCCTCTTCAAATAGGATTATTGTCCCCAACCAAAGCAATTCGCGAGTCCGTATTATATTATTACAACAAGGTATTTGGTATTGAATGCGAGATGTACGTTTTGCTCATTATTGAAAAATAAAAATAATTTAGTGTGGTTACTCTAATTTCCAATGTGGCCAACTTTTCTGAACGGCTGATTTTATAAAAATGAGTGTGTCGCACTACGGCGTGGTTGGTATCATTGGAAAGGTGAGTTTACACCGAATTCGGGAAAATTGGAAAGGAGTAAATCTGAAACTGCCGGCGGGAGAAACGGGTCCCAGAGTGTTATAGTAATGTTTTAAATTATGCTGCACAAAGACTCCGTGCCCACGGAGTCATGTTTGGTACGGTTGGAATCATCCATGCTTTGAATGGAGGTAAATCGGATAATGTGTGTTGGAGAAATGGCTTTTGGAACGCAATAAATAGCTCATAATGAATTGCTGCCCTGAAAACATGAACATGTCTGAGTTCCAGCGGATGAACCACGCCTCTCACAGCCGGTTGAGGGATCCCACAGAACTATGCATACTTGGAATTGATAAAGTGTCATCGCAATTTACATATGGATATAGGCATAGTTTTGTAATATAGGAATTTAATAAATAAACATACATTTTTAAGTAACCTTAAATTTGTGTGCTGACACTTACAAACTGCAGGTGAATACTTTACTTCCCCATGCGACAGGAACGAACTACTGAATGCTCAAACAGCTAATTCGATTCTGTAAGGCCATTGAAAATGTTTCCCTGAAACGCACACTAACTTTAAATTAAACCAAATTAAGTTACTTATTTTATGTGGGTATGGGTAACATAGGAATGAAACACTTCAGCCCGAATGCATTGAGCGCAATAAATCAGACAGTTGGAGTTAACAGTCGCGAAACAATAATCCCTTGAAATGCTCGTCTTTTTTGGTTACAATTATTTTTACAGTTTATTATAGAATCCATTACTTCAGTGGTTACATAAAGTAAAATTTTATTTCCTGTCAAAAAATGATTATTTTTTAAGATTGATTTGGTTTAATTTAAAGTAATTAGAGTGGTAATATGTTGACATAAAAGCCTAAATCTACGTGCACTTAATAAATAATAGTGGCCACTTTTAGGCCATCTATTCATTTGCCAGGAGGTTTTACATTTTCGCCACCTTGATTTTACAACAGCCCGGTCCTTCTGAAGCAAAGATAACCAAGATGCGCCATCTGCTGGTCATTGTGTGTCATTGCGTGTCCACAACATTCTCCCATTCAAACCAACGCATGGGTCATGTGACCCAAAACCGCGAACAACGACCCTATCTGAGCCTCGGCGCTCCTAGTGTTAAAAGATTGTTTCGATTCATTTACTTCTCGCAGCCTAAGCGAGAATCATACCCCTGAACCAACGAGCCAACGATACATACTTCCCTTTCGATTATTCTTCGAATGCACTTCAAGATCTTTGTGGGTTGAATGTGGGGAAGACGTTTTCAAGCAATGTTGTTCAAATATTTGTTGACTTTTTAGTACATCTCCTTATGCCATCACAAATTTAAAAGATTGTTTCGATTCATTTACTTCTCGCAGCCTAAGCGAGAATCATACCCCTAGACCAACGGGCCACCGATACATACTTTTCTTTTCCATTTTTTTTCTGCACATCAAGATCTTTGTGGGTTGAATGTGGGAAAGCAATGTTGTTCATACATTTGTTGACATTGTAATACCTCTCCTTACTCCATCACAACTGTAACAGATTTTGTCGGTTCATTTGTTTTTCTTTAACTAATGGTAACGCATTTTATTTAAAAGGAGAATATTGAATGAGAATGAAGTTTGACGCTAGCAATTTTACCAAAAGCAAATACCAATGTGGCAGTGAAATAGACAATGCTGGATCAATATTCAAGACTTTCATTGATGAATGGATTAAAACTGAATTTTCAGAAATAGACGTACTACTTCTGTCAATTTAAATGCTTTGCAGGGCTCGTCCGGGATTTGAACCTGAGACCTCTCGCACCCTAAGCGAGAATCATACCCCTAGACCAACGAGCCACCGACACATACTTTCCTTTTGACTTTTTTTCGAATGCACATCAAGATCTTTGTGGGGTGAACGTGGGGAAGACGTTTTCAAGCGATGTTGTTCATATTTTTGTTGACTTTGTAGTACATCTCCTTACTCCATCACAACTTTAAAAGATTGTGTCGATTCATTTACCTCTCGCACCCTAAGCGAGAATCATACCCCTAGACCAACGAGCCGTCACCTAAAACAGAAACACACGGATGAATGGGTGAAACTATGAGACGCTGATTGTGTCCCGAATCAACATGTCTGTTAAAAGACACATTTGGCCTACTATTAAACACTGATAGTGTCCCGAATCCAAACATGTCGGTTAAAAGACACATAACCATAGACGTATCCTATACAAACGTCATCCCTTATGACAAGAAAAGTTTGAGTTGGAAGGAGATAACGCGATGCATTGACATATTACACTGTGACATATTACACTGTGAAGGATATGCTGCAAGTCTTAAGTAGAAAAAGACCGGCTTTAAAAAGGTGCAGTTGACCGTAAATATCTGCTGCCGAGTCGCAAGTATTTCACGGTAAAAGCCCTACAGCAAATATACACTGATACGAGCGAAAGAGTATTTTTTCACGGATACAGCCGTATCGTCAGTGGATTCCTGTATCTGCATCCTCATGCATGCTGACCGTCACGTCACCCGGTGGACTGAATACGCAATTTATTTTATTATTCTACTACCAAAAAGTTAAATTCTCATGTTCAATTTAAATAGTAAAAGATCGATACTTGGCGTCTGTGTATCGATAAAGTATTGCCACAGGAAATATCGCGATTTTATGCTGTATCGACTTTTTCCCCCACCCGTAACAAGAATGTATCTCACCTTTCTTGCGTTCACAAACCACAGATTGTGTTGTTATCCAGTCACCATTATATCAGACCGTGTGGTTTTGTTTGTTTCTCATTAAATATTGACAATACAATTTAATAAAAGATGAAAAACACTATATCCGACCGTGTGGTTTTGTTTGTTTCTCATGAAATATTGATTATACATGTTAATAAAAGATAAAGTATAATTGGAGAAGGTGGTTTGTCGCTAGAAAAATTCCTAAGAGCGACAGACAATGTGGGCACAATGGACGCTGCTGGATCAACACTCCAGACACCATTGAGGAATTGATTTTGACCATATACCACTGGGCTCGTCCGGGATATGAATCCGGGACCTCTCGCACCCGTAGCAAGAATCATTCCCATGGACCAACGAGCTGCAGCTAAAAACGATTGTCCATTTTTTTACAGCAGCACTTCACGATTATTGTGGGTTGCAATAAGGGAAAGATGTTTTCAAGACATTTGGTATTTTTTATAGTGTTTGTTTTTCCTCTCCTTATCCAGTCACCATTATATCCGACCGTGTGGTTTTGATTGTTTCTCATTAAATATTGATTATACATTTTAATAAAAGATAATGTATAATTGGAGAAGGTGGTTTGTCGCTAGCAAATTTCCTAAGAGCGGCAAACAATGTTGCCATAATGGACTCTGCTGGATCAACACTCCAGACACCATTGAGGAATGGATTTCAAATGCCACTGGGCTCCCAGGATATGAATCCGGGAGCTCTCGACCGGAAGCGAGAATCATTCCCTGGACCAACGAGCCACAGCTAGAAACGAATTTTTTTACAATCAGTTATTGCAATAAGGGAAAGATGTTTTCAAGACATTTTGTATTTTTTTTGTAGTGTTTGATTTCTCTCCTTATCCAGTCACCATGGATTGTTTGTTTCAATAAATATTGACTACAATTTAATAAAAAGTGAAAAACAGACACCAAAATTGAGGAATGGATTTGCTAGATCATCACCCCAGACACCATTGAGGAATGGATTTCGACCAGATTGATGGAGTCACTGTCCGACTGCACTGAATATAAAAATAACACTGGGCTCGTCCGGAATTTAAACACGTGACCTCTCGCACCCAAAGCGAGAATCCTTCCCCTAGACCAACGAGCCACTGTAAAAACGATTTAGATTTTTTTTTTTTTTTACAGCACATCAAGATTATTGTGGGTTGTGTTAGGGGCAAGATGTTTTCAAGCCATTTTGTAAATTTTCTGTAGTGTATTTATTTCCTCTCCTTATCCAGTCACCACCATATCTGTTCGTGTGGTTTTGTTTGTTTCTCATTAAATATTGATTATACATAATAAAAAAGATGAAGAATGATTGGAGAAGGTGGTTTTGTCGCTAGCAAAATTCCTAAGAGCGACAGACAATGTGGCCATAATGGGCGTTGCTAGATTAACACTCCAGACACCAGTGAAGAATGGATTTCAACCAAATTGAAGGAGTCACTGTCCGACTGCTCTGAATATTAAAATTACACTGGGCTCGTCCGGAATTTAAACACGTGACCTCTCGCACCCAAAGCGAGAATCCTACCCCTAGACCAACGAGCCACTGTAAAAGCGATTTTGATTTTTTTTTACGGCAGCACATCAAGATTATTGTGGGTTGTGTTAGGGGCAAGATGTTTTCAAGCCATTTTGTAAATTTTCTGTAGTGTATTTATTTCCTCTCCTTATCCAGTCACCACCATATCTGTTCATGTGGTTTTCTTTGTTTCTCATTAAATATTGATTATACATAATAATAAAAGATGAAGAATGATTGGAGAAGGTGGTTTGTCGCTAGCAAAATTCCTAAGAGCGACAGACAATGTGGCCATAATGGGCGTTGCTAGATTAACACTCCAGACACCAGTGAAGAATGGATTTCAACCAAATTGAAGGAGTCACTGTCCGACTGCTCTGAATATTAAAATTACACTGGGCTCGTCCGGAATTTAAACACGTGACCTCTCGCACCCAAAGCGAGAATCCTACCCCTAGACCAACGAGCCACTGTAAAAGCGATTTTGAATTTTTTTTACGGCAGCACATCAAGATTATTGTGGGTTGTGTTAGGGGCAAGATGTTTTCAAGCCATTTTGTAAATTTTCTGTAGTGTATTTATTTCCTCTCCTTATCCAGTCACCACCATATCTGTTCATGTGGTTTTCTTTGTTTCGATTATACATAATAATAAAAGATGGTTTGGAGAAGGTGTTTGTTTCTTCATTAAATATTAACACTTAAGAATACATTATTAAAATTACACTGGGCTCGTCCGGAATAAAAAAGCGAGAATCCTACCCCTATGTAAAAGCGAAAGAATCTGTTCGTGTGGTTTTCTTTGTTTCTCATTAAATATTGATTGAAGAATGATTGAGAAGGTGGTTTGTCGCTAGCAAAATTCCTAAGAGCGACAGACAATGTGGCCATAATGGGCGTTGCTAGATTAACACTCCAGACACCAGTGAAGAATGGATTTCAACCAAATTGAAGGAGTCACTGTCCGACTGCTCTGAATATTAAAATTACACTGGGCTCGTCCGGGATTTGAACCCGAGACCTCTCACACCCGAACGAGAATCCTACCCCTAGACCAACGAGCCACTGTAAAAGCAATTTTGAATTTTTTTTACGGCAGCACATCAAGATTATTGTGGGTTGTGTTAGGGGCAGATGTTTTCAAGCCATTTTGTAAATTTTCTGTAGTGTATTTATTTCCTCTCCTTATCCAGTCACCACCATATCTGTTCGTGTGGCCGAAAGCGATAAGAGAAGTTGAAATTACAGCTCTTATTGATTTCTTCACTGCATAATTAACTTTTTGATTGTTTGTTTCTTCCCGCCATGAAAATAACAAAATGCTTACAACACTATATATTCCCAGGCGGTCTCCCATCCAAGTACTAACCAAGCCCAACCCTGCTTGGCTACCGAGATCAGACGAGATCGGGCGTTTTCAGGGTGGTGTGGCCGTAAGCTATTAGAAAAGTTAAAATTACAGCTGTTATTGATTTCTTCACTGCATAATTAACTTTTTGATAGATTGTTTCTTCCCATCATGAAAATAACAAAATGCTTACAACACTAGATATTCCTAGGCGGTCTCCCATCCAAGTACTAACCAAGCCCAACCCTGCTTGGCTTCCGAGATCAGAGATCGGGCGTTTTCAGGGTGGTGTGGCCGTAAGCGATAAGAAAAGTTGAAATTACAGCTCTTATTGATTTCTTCACTGCATAATTAACTTTTTGATTGTTTGTTTCTTCCCGCCAAGAAAATAACAAAATGCTTACAACACTAGATATTTCCAGGCGGTCTCCCATCCAAGTACTAACCAAGCCCGACCCTGTTTGGTTTCCGAGATCAGAGAGATCGGGCGTTTTCAGGGTGGTGTGGCCGTAGGCTATTAGAACATTTGAAAATACAGCTGTTATTGATTTCTTCACTGCATAATTAACTTTTTGATTGATTGTTTCTTCCCGCCAAGAAAATAACAAAATGCTTACAACACTAGATATTCCTAGGCGGTCTCCCATCCAAGTACTAACCAAGCCCAACCCTGCTTGGTTTGGATTCGAGATCGGGCGTTTTCAGGGTGGTGTGGCCGTAAGCTATTAGAAAAGTTGAAATTACAGCTCTTATTGATTTCTTCACTGCATAATTAACTTTTTGATTGATTGTTTCTTCCCGCCATGAAAATAACAAAATGCTTACAACACTAGATATTCCTAGGCGGTCTCCCATCCAAGTACTAACCAAGCCCAACCCTGCTTGGCTTCCGAGATCAGACGAGATCGGGCGTTTTCAGGGTGGTGTGGCCGTAAGCTATTAGACAAGTTGAAATTACAGCTCTTATTGATTTCTTCACTGCATAATTAACTTTTTGATTGATTGTTTCTTCCCGCCATGAAAATAACAAAATGCTTACAACACTAGATATTCCTAGGCGGTCTCCCATCCAAGTACTAACCAAGCCCGACCCTGTTTGGATTCAGAGAGATCGGGCGTTTTCAGGGTGGTGTGGCCGTAAGTATTAGAAAAGTTGAAATTACAGCTCTTATTGATTTCTTCACTGCATAATTAACTTTTTGATTGATTGTTTCTTCCCGCCAAGAAAATAACAAAATGCTTACAACACTAGATATTCCCAGGCGGTCTCCCATCCAAGTACTAACCAAGCCCGACCCTGTTTGGTTGCTGCTGTAAACAATTGGACAATAGCTTTTAGTTGTGGCTCGTTGGTCCAGGGGGAAGGATTCTCGCTTCCGGTGCGAGAGGTCCCGTATTCATTCCCGGACGAGCCCAGTGGTATATGGTCAAAATCCATTTCTCAATGGTGTCTGGATTGTCGATCCAGCAGAGTCCGTTATGGCCACATTGTCTGCCGCTCTTAGGAATTTTGCTAGCGACAAACCACTTTCTCCAAATATACTTTATTTTTTATTAAAATGTATAATCAATATTTAATGAGAAACAAACAAAACCACACGGTCGAATATAGTGGTGACTGGATAAGGAGAGGAAATAAATACACTACAGAAAATTTACAAAATGGCTTGAAAACATCTTGCCCCTAACACAACCCACAATAATCTTGATGTGCTGCCGTAAAAAAATTCTAAATTTCTTTTACAGTGGCTTGTTGGTCTAGGGGGTATGATTCTCGCTTTGGGTGCGAGAGGTCCCGGATTCATTCGCTAGCAAAGCTACAAGAGCGGCAGACAATGTGACGCCAACAACTCTGCTGGATCGGCCAATCAGGTACCGATGGCGTGGATTTTGACTTTTCGCTATACCACTGGGCTCGTCGGGAAGTGAGCTGCGGGACCTCTGCGCGGGTGGCGTCGCCTGAACGAGCCACAACAAAGCTTGTGTCAATTGTTACAGCAGCTTTGTCCTTATTGTGGGTTGTAAGAAGAAAATTTCAGGTACATTTGTATTTTTATAGTGTTCTTTCTCCTTATCAGTCATATATCTGACCGTGTGGGTTTTTTGTTTATCGTAAATATTGATTTATTAAAAGTGAAAACAATAAGAAGGTGAATGTTAACAAAATTCCCCAAAGAGCGACGGGCTGTGTGGGCAAATAGGCGCTGCTAGATCGGCTCCGAACGCTGAGGGGCTGACCAGATGATGGAGTCGCCGACTGCACTGAATATAAAGTAACGCTGAAATGTCCGGATTTACCGGGGATTTCTCGCACCCAGGCGAATCATACCTTAGATTAGCCTGTAAAAAACAGAGGCTGAGTAACTGACCCAGTACTTGGATGGCCTGGAAGTCTCCATGTTAAATCTTTGTTATTTTCATGGCGGGAAGAAAGCAATCTATCAAATAGTTAATTATGCAGTGAAAATCAATAACAGCTGTAATTTCAACTTTTTCTGTAGCTTGCGGCGCACCACCCTGAAAAGCACCCGATCTCGTCGATCTCGAGAAGCCAAGCAGGGGTCAAGCAATTAGCTGCCTGAATTTAATGTCTAGTGTTATCAAGCATTTGTTATTTTCTAGTGAAAAACAATCAATCAAAAATACTGATGTGAAACTGCAATTTCAACTGGCTCTTATAGATGTGCGGCACCACACCACCCTGTGCGGTCGTCTTGATCTCTCGGAAGTGCTTTTGAGTTAGACTTTAATTGCTTCTTGGATGGGGAAGACGCCTATATCTAGTGTTATGGCGACTGTTGTTTTCTTGGTGAAGAAACAATCAATCAAAAGTTAATTATGCAGTGAAATCAGCCAACCCGGCTGTATTTTGAGTGTTCTGGCACTGCGGCCACGCCACGCCCTGGCATACGATCTCGAGTAGGCTGAGGCCGAGATATTGTATGCAGATGAGAACACTTCCTGGAAATATCTGAGTGTTGTAAGCGCGACACGACCTTACCATGGCGGAAAACTGTCAATCATAAGTTAATTATTATGCATTGAACGAAAATCAGCAAACTGCTCAATTTCAGCTTTTCCAATAACTTGCAGCCACCGCCCTGGCATCAGATGCGATCTCATTGGCATGGTAGGCTGGTGTACTTTGGATGGGAGACACGCAAGTATCTGAGTGTTGTATTTGTTATTTTCATGGCGGAAAAACAATCAATCAAAAAGTTAATTATGCAATGAAGAAATCAGCCAAATGCTGTCAACTTGTCTTATAAACTTACGTACACCACGCAACGCCCGATCTCAGTATCAGTAGAGCTTTGGTTGTACTGATGAGGAGACACCTAGAGAATATATAGTGTTGTAAGCATTTTGTTTCATGTGAAAGAAAGCAGTGTCAAAAGTTAATTATGAAGTGAGGCTAAGGCTGTAACTCTAATGGCTGCGGCCACACCACCTGAGAACTGCCCGATCTCGTCTGTGATCTCGGTAGCCAAGCAGAGTTGGGCGAGCCAGCCTGGATGGGAGACCGCCTGAAACCATAGTGTTGTAGCATTTTGTTATTTTCATGAGAAAAAACAAACAATCAAGGGTTAATTATGCAGTGAAGAAATCAACCAAGAGTAGCAATTTCAACTTCTCTTGTAACTACGGCGTCCAGGTATGGTGGTGACAGAGAAATAAA